CCTGTACATCATATACAAGCGCGTGTGCTATTTCAGTCTCCTTATAACTATCAATCTGACAGATTTCTCGTGCATTTGTTCCCTTCTGTATATAACTTGACAGGTCTGGGGATTGCGGTACTGTTTATGGGACTCACTGTGCGGCTGATCGTGGCCTTTTTGACAGTTCTGCGCACGGATCTGAACTTGAAGGAAAGGTTTTTCATCCCCTGCTCCTGGTTCCCGAAAGCGACAGTACAGGTGAGAGAAAAATAAAAAGACTAGAGATTTTTCCTACTTCTTGTGTTTTCGTAGCACTTTGTTTTTATTTATGACTCAGGGGTTGTGGTGATGGCATCCCCCCCGTCTTTCTACTTCTACATACAGAATATAGGCTATGTAGGCCTAATAGAGATTCCTGATTTTATAACAACACTATAATACTGGTGTCGTTGATGACTTTGCTGTCGCAATTGTTACAGTAGTCGTTGATGTTGTTGTCGCTGTTGTTTTAAATCTTGTTGGTGTTTTCATTCCCATTTTCCTCCTCGTCCTTGTCATCATCGCCGTTTTCCTCCTCCTCTTCTTTCTTCTTCTTCTTCTCCTTCGACTAGACTTCTATTTCTTTCAGGAGATTTCCATACCTAGACTGCTTTGGGAGTTAAAGTCAAGAAGTTTGTTCATTCGGTGCCTCACCTCCTAAACAACGCACTCTCGCAAACACTTCTTAGATCTTCCCGTGTTTCTCATCTATTTACCGATTTGTTCCTTTCTCACCTTTACAGGCCGCCATTGGGGCTATTGCGTATGATACGGCCATTGATAAAGGAGCAACAGAACTTGTGCCACTCGGCAAAAAAGTGAGTTGAATTATTCCTCTTTCTAGAAAAATGAAATGCATAGAATGTGCCCCCCCCCTAAAAAACCCCCATCCCAATTCCAGTTTTTCTCATCATCATTTTTTTAAAACTGCAGCTAAGTTTGATCCTCGAAGCACGCTACTTGGAAACATGGGCTTTAAATAGGTGTAGAGAACATTTTCCTTCCACGTTTGCTCACCTTTTCAATTCTATTTTTTTTTAAAGTGAAAAAAGTATGTGTGTGTGACATGGGGAGTGTGTAAAGTCAGAGTGTCTTATGTGCTCTCAAATGTGTCTTATAAAATTTTAATGTCTCCTGATTTTCAGGAAGTCAACTGCCCCCC